CAATCCAGGCTGTGATATTTTCCTCTTTAATTAAAACAAAACAAAACAAAAACTTGCCCATTTGTGTTTGCCAGTTATCTGAAAGTTCAGGAACTAGAAAGCGTTTCCCTCCACAAACAAGCCGTGGGATGTGTTTGGAAGCTGCCTTTACCTCAGCAGCTGCGGTTTGACACATTCATTCCACTGAGAAGGAAGGTGGAACAGGGGTTGCTTCCTAAGAGGAAAAGAAAGAAAAAAACAACTTTATATTTATCATTTGCCATCTATGGGAGGGGTTAGATGATTTTGGGGTCCTCTTTCAGACAGTGATATGAGTAAGGCACCATCAGTAGGGAGGTGACTGTCACGCCTGCTTGACGTTTGAAGAATTTCATTTTCCATTTAGAAAATAGAGATCTTAAAGTGACCCTATTCTCACTTTGGGTCTTTCTGTCTTAGGCCATGATACAACCAAGTAGTTTTCTAGCAAAATACTTCATAAACTGTATTTTTAGATTATAATGATGTAAGGACAAATAGCTTACTCAATTTGCAAGGCTTTTATGGAACTTTGTAGGAACCCCAGAGAGTCTCCTCCACTCCAGGGTAGAGATCACATGGGCTAGTGTGCTTGTGCGTGAGATGAGTCCTAGACTGAGGCCTGGGAAGCAGAGGATTGAAGAAGAAAGGAGGGTGTAAGCCAAGTGTGTGCTGCCTGCTTGGTCTTCCCACATTCTAAGGTTGTTATCATTTATAACGAGAAAACAATTAATAAATGGGATCTCCTGAAACTGAGAAGCTTCTGTAAAGCAAAGGACACAGTCAACAAGACAAAACAGCAGCCTACAGAATGAGAAAAAAATCTTCACCAGCTTCACATCGGACAGAAGGCTAATCTCCAAAATATACAAAGAACTCAAGAAATTGGTCAACAAAAGAACAAATAATCCAGTAAAAAAAAAAAAAAAGGAGTACAGTCCTATACAGAGAACTCTCAAAAGAGGAATCTAAAATGGCTGAAAGACACTTAAGGAAATGCTCAACATCTTAAGTCATCAGAGAAATGCAAATCAAAACAACTCTGAGATTTCATCTTATACCTGTAAGAATGGCCAAGATCAAAAACACTGATGACAACTTATGTTGGAGAGGTTGTGGGGTAAAGGGAACACTCCTGCATTGCTGGTGGGAGTACAAGCTGGTACAGCCCCCTTGAACATTAGTATGGTGATTTCTCAGAAAATCAGGAAACAACCTTCCTTAAGATGCAGCAATACCACTTTTGGGTATATACCCAAAGGATGCTCAATCGTTCCACAAGGACATGTGCTAAACTATGTTCATAGCAGCATTGTTTGTCATAGCCAGAACCTGGAAACAACCTAAATGCCCCTCCATTGAATAATGGATAAGGAAAATCTGGTACATTTACACAATAGAATACTACACAGCAGAAACAAATAACGACATCTTGAGATCTGCAGGCAAATGGATGGATCTAGAAAACATCATATTGAGTGAGGTAACTCAAACTCAGAAGAACAAAAATCATATATACTCACTCGCACGTGGCTTTCAGACACAAAGCAAAGAAAACAAGCCTACAATTCACAAACCCAGAGAACTTAGACAATAATGTGGACCCTAAGAGAGACATATGTAACATGAGGGCCGGCTTGTTGGGGTACTGGGAGGGACAGAAACCCCAACAAGCCGGCCCTCATGTTACACTCATAAGACTCCATAAGATTATAAACTGATTGGCCCATTAGGTCATGCTTCTTGTTAACTCTTATAACTTATATTAACCCATTATTCTCATCTATGTTAGCCATAATGGCTCCATACCTTTCTCAGCTGGGCAGGTTACATGCTGCCTCTTCGATGTTCTGCGCAGGAGTGGTAAGAGAGTTTCTACTTCCAGAATACTCCCAGTCTCTTTGCTCCACCCCTACTTCCTGTCTGGCTTTCCCGCCTATACTGCCTGCCTGGCCAATCAGCATTTTATTAAAATATGATTGACAAAATACAGACAATTCTCCCACACTAGACATACGTGGATCTAACCTACATGGGAAGTAGAAAAAGACAAGATCTTCTGAATAAATTGGGAGCATGGGGACCATGGGAGAGGGTAGAAGGGGAGGGGAGAGACAGGGAGGGGAGCAGAGAAAAATGTAGAGCTCAATAAAATCAATTAAGAAAGAGCTAGTATTGGCTCAGCATAGGTCTTGTCTGGTGATGACCACCAGGAGGAGTGAAGGAAATGGAGGCAGTAAGAAACCAGAAGAGAATGGGGTGTTCTTGGAGCATGCTGGAGAACTCACAAAATCTCCACCAAAATGACTCATGCGAACTCCAAGAAATAGCTTTGCAATAATGAGACTCCCCAAAGAGACCAGAAAGTAGGAGCAGAGATGTTTAAATATTCTTCATACAGAAGGCATACTTGGTGGAAGATTATATCAAGTATGGATTTTTCTCACTCCTTAACATGCATTACCTCTTCCCATAACTCTTACCCTAAAGGGGTGTTTTCAGGTGGGCAGCCTGAGTAAGGTGTGGCAAAAAGACACTAAAATATGAATCACACCACTCGTTGCCGCACTACCGGTTCCCTCTGCTGCCACCTAGCTTGAGGCCGACCTGGAGGTTGCACAATCCTCATATTGCATTTTCAGCCAAGGCAAGGGCAACATTTTCCTAAATGTTTTGGGTGCAGCATTGTGTAATTTCTAACTTGAGACTTTGCAGCTTAAAGTGACCCTAGGACTTAAGCATGATCTACAAATAGCCTAAGGGATTTTTTTCTTAATCTAGGTTAGATAACAGTGGGAAAGAATAGTGGGAAAGAATTTTTAAAATTCATTTGATTACATCATGAATTCTGCTTACTCGGAAATTGCTTGCCTTCCCATAGATGTGATAAACCCGGAAAAACATTCCAAGTCTTCTTCCAGATCCGCCCCATCACCTAAATAAGCCTTCAACCGGCCCTTCTCGAATCAGTGCTTCATGCCACCAAATCTGTGACAAGAACGCCAGATGGTTATGACAGTCCCACTAGGTCACTTGAAGAAAGTAAGGGGCCCGTTCTGTAGAAAAGATTCTGGGAGCACATGGATATCCCCTATGGCAGGATGTAAAGACAGATGAAGACAGATGACATCTGAAATACCATATGGACATTCGCCTCAGGTGAGAAGAAATAACTAAGGCTGAAACAGAGTGTCCTTTCCTGGAATGAGCTGGTGCGGAGCTGTTAGGAACTGTCTCCTGCAGGTGGTGGGGGACCTAAGGTGTCAGAGTGAGGAGTTCTGGAGCTTTATTTCTTGTGACTGTTGTCATTCCCAAGCCACCCAGGCCAGCCTAGTCATCAGCCTCCCTGATGTGCCTGCTGTAGAGAATGGTAGAGAAAAGTCACACCAGCTCCAAGCATTATTCTAAGCCCTGCAGTGTGGCATAAATTCTAATTGGCTTCAATCATAAAAACCCAGAATCATAAATTTGGGAGTGAAACTGAATGATCAGAGAAGCAGAGCAGCCAGCCACTGGTTCTTACCTCTACCGAATACTCAGACCGAATGGGCAATCCTGTCTCTAGGAATCCTCAGGCTGAATGTCTCCTCCTACCTTATATTCCTGTCTCTGCCCAGCCATATCTTTTCTTGTCTCTACCTTCCTAGTTCTGGGATTAAAGGCTGTGGCTCCCAAATACTGGGTTTAAAGGTGTGAGCCACACTGCCTGGCTCTGTTTCTCTTTCAGAGAACAATCTCGTGTAGCCCAGGGTGGCCTTGAACTCACAGAAAATCGCTGCCTCTGCCTCCGAAGTGCTGGGATTAAAGGCGTAGGCCACCACTAACACTGCCTGGCTTCTATGGCTAACTAGTGGTTTGCTCTGTACTCTGATCTTCAGGCAAGCTTTGCTATATCACAAACAAAATATCAGCACACTACAGTACCCCTTAGAATGACTTAGAGGGTCATTCAATAGTTAGCAATTAACTATTATCTAGTACTTATGAAACAAATGCTTAACCTACAGTTCGAAGGTACCTCATCTTCTACACTCTTATATTGTCTGTGAAGGACACCATGCAAGATCATAAAGATAGTAAGAAAAGCAGGTACATGTTTGTGCCCCTTGACAGAACAGAGTTCTAGAGTACAAGCTGCATCTGCTTTACTCCAGTACCTGAAAACTGGCTGCAAGCTTAGGTGTCTTAACAACAAAGAACAGAGGAAGTGGGGCTTGCACCCAATGGTATTTGTTTTCAGTCGTAAAGATAAAGGAAGTTATGTCATTTGTAGGAAAGTGAATACAACTGTCAATAATGAATATTAATTGATATAAGTCTGGAAAGTTATAGCATGCATTGTCTTGTTTGTGGATCCTAAATGTCACAGGGACATCATACCATATACATACCCCACGGGCACATAAGTCAAAGAGAGCTATGTGGGGGATAAGGGGACTTGAGAAGAGGGAGAGGGTTGTGGGGTACAGGAAAAATATGCTCAAAGTCCATTGTATACCTGTACAAAAGTGGCCTTGTGTTTCTGTGTAAACTAAAAACAAAGAACAAAGACCATGGTGTAGAGGACAAGCTCAGTAAATGTTACTTCCTTGGATGAATGACTGTGACTGCTGCCATCAAGGCACCGAGAGTTCAGTGGAGGGTTAAGTTGTGTCAGCAGGATACCGTGGAGATGGGTGACCCAGAGAATGTAAACTACATAGCAACCAACAGAACAGAAGTGAAGGAGGAGAGAAGTGGGGACGATAGGATGCTCTGAGCATCCCCCCAGCCCTAGCTTGGCCTTGTTCACTGCTGGTTCTTGATTTCATGTTGCCTCTGTGGTCATAGTGGGTCAATGGTCCAAGAGCAAGCACATGAAGTAAGGAGGATCCTGCCTGTAACTTTGCCATGGTGAACTCACAGTAGTGTGTGCGTACCTGCGTAAGACCTACGCAAGATCAAGCCCACCACCACCCCGGCACAGAACGTCACTGAGCTGCACCTGGCTGGCGATGGCTGCTGGAAGAGGAAGGGTTAATGTGGCAATGATGTGACCCGGTAGGATGTGAGCACCATCCCTGTGGGACTGTGGCCTGTAATTTCTTGGCAGAAGCCGTCCTCTCAGCGCTAAGGTCAGAGCTGGGGAAAGATGCCATAACCACCACACAGGCACTTGGGCCCAAAGGCAACACCCGCCTTGTGATCTGCGCTTGCGCTGAAGTGCACAGCAGCAAACTCTTCTTGCGTGTGGCCAATTTGATGGGGTTAAAATATGATTAAGCCTAAACATGTAAACACTAAATTCCCAAGTCGATCATGCTGTAATACTCTATTAGGGTTAGGCCAGATTACAGCTGGTAGTGTTGCTTCATACTGGATCCTGGTCCAAAACGATGAATCCTCTTGTAAAACCCGCAGTGATTCTCAGAAAGAACCCCATTCGCAAAGAGAGCCGTCCTAAAGTTCCAAGAGGGCTTCAGCGAGGCATATTTTAAGCACCACCTGGAAAAACCACAGGCAGAGCTGGCTGGCTCTTGGGGAGCCTCAGGGAAATGCCACACATCTAGAGCCCCAGGCCTGCAGAGCCCTTCCTGGGGGTGGGGGGAGGAGCTCCACGTGGAGCCTGGGTCACGCGTGCTCTTCCTCACATTCTAACAGGGAAGAAAAGCACCAGGCCGTTAACCATAAAGGAAAAATAATACCGCACTCGGCAGAAATCACATCCAACTGGAGCCCGGTTTGTAATCCTTCATCCTTTCTGGGAGTCAGTCAGCTGCCGTGGACACCCCCACAGGATGGATCTTTTTCCAAGGCAACAAACGCTCAATTCATCGGGGAACTGGAGCCCGGCTCCCGTGCTGTTTCTTCGAGATCCTTGAAAGGGTTGAATACGAATTGAAACCAAAGACATATTATTTTCAGAAGTGAGCACATTTTCACCCTGGTTGAAGGATGTTGGCCTTATCCCTCCCTAGCGTAGGGAGGGTGTCCGGGCTCTGTGAGCCATTCCCAGTGACTTCTCAGGGCCCGGAAGACGGGCGGGTCTCTTCTGTTGCAGCCACAGCGTTTCGGACAGTCTCTAAGTGCGAAAGCAAATGTTTCGTTTAGGTAGGGACCTTAAAATAATGAGGTTTGGCTTTTGAAAAGATTAGCTACAAGAAAGAAAAATGCCGTAGGAAGTCATAACAGTAATGGTTATCACAATATTAATACGCAACATCTGGGCTCCCAGGGATTATGCCAGTGAGCTCCAGAGGGTGGCTGAGTGCACACAATTTGGGTGAGGGGGGAGAGAAACACATGTGCACGCGTGCGCACGAGAGAGAGAGAGAGGAGAGAGAGAGAGAGAGAGAGAAAGAGAGAGAGAGAGAACAATTCTTTAAGTTTGAATGTGAGTCTGTTTTGCAGAACTAATGATTACATGCCTAACGAAGGGAAGCCTTCCTATTGGATAAAGCTAAGCAACTGACCCTACACTCCATCCTGCACAACCAAGAAAACCAGTTGGGGCTGGGAAAGTACTGGCGGCTCAATGGGTAAAGTGCTTGCTGCCCAAGCACGAGGACCTGAATCTGGGACCCTGGCTCCTGCGTAAAGAGAGGAAGGGGGTGGTGCTCTTACCCCAGTACTGGGGGCTGAAGAGAGCCATGAGTTGTGGGGAGGCTGCTGGCCAGTCTGTCTAGTTGAAAGCACAAACAGCAAGTGCCAGATTCAGAGAGAGCCCCTGCTTCAAATGGTCAAGCGAAGAAGCAAGAGAGGAGGGCTTTCAGCTATCAGCCTCTGGCCTGCACATATGCCCACACAGGTGAATACCCTCCTCCCCACACAGGTGAACATACTCCTCCCCACACAGGTGAACACACTCCTCCCCACACACTCGCTCACTCAGATGCATGGTGGCCTTATTCCCAGACCCAGCCGGAAATTCCTATCTGGATAATTCCACCAAGGATCATGTTTTTGGAGGTCTCCTATCTCCAAGCCTAACTAGGGCCATCGTCTGTAGGACCTGCTATGGATAATGAAATGGGAGCCTGCAGAATGGAACCCTAGTCACCCATCCCCTTTGGCGATTTCCGGGGTACAGGCTCACTGTCCTTTCTCACCTCCTTTGCTTCACGGGAACTGCGACATCTTGCCAGTCCAGAAGCAGAGACTAGAAGACGGATATGTCTCAATCTGAAGTCTATTTGTATGTTAAAAACAATGAGCCGGGAGGTGGTGGCACACGCCTTCAATCTCAGCACTTGGGAGGAAGAGGCAGGCAGTTCTCAATGAGTTCAAGGCCAGCCTGGGCAACAGGGCAAGTGCCAGGACAGCTAGAGCTGCACAGAGAAACCCTGTCTCGAAAAATAAAAATAATAAAGTAAAAATGGTGAGGGCTAGGGATGTGACTTCATTGGTAGAAAGTTTACCTGGCAAGTGCAAAGACTAGGTTGCATCACCAGAAATACATAAACTTGGCAGGAGATGGAGGTAGGAGGATCAGGAGTTCAAAGCCCCCAGTTATATGGAAAGTTCAGGGCCAGCCAGACCTCACCTCAATGAAAAGGGAAGAAAACCAGTAACACCATAGATCAAACCTGTTCTCGTGCAGGGGGAGTTAAAAGAAGCAACTCAGGTGGCTATGTTTCACGCTGTACCGAGTTTTTATTTGGACAATTTGATGTTTTCTCAACTCTTCCCATCAGAAAATTCCCAAACCCTTACCCACAATGGTTGGGGAGGAATGTGAACTAACAGTGAAGACATGTGGGCCCAAGGCCAGGCAGGACACTGAAGCATTTCCTGAAGACCCCTCTTTGTTTTTACAATTTTGCCTTTGTTCTGCTTGTGCGTCACACTTTCCTCCAATGCATATGTCTACCACTTTTTGTTTTAAATATACTTATAATCACTATTCCCTGTGCTTATCCTGGCTCTAGCTCTTTAATCCAGTCTCCCAACCTGACATTCCATCTCTCCGTGTGGTTTCTCCGCAGGAGACATGGGACAAGTCCCAAGGGACAGTGTCATCCTCTCGCATCCCGCCAAGCTTCCCACCTGCAAGGCAGCCCTGCCGTTGTGTCTCTACAGGACTGTCTGTGTTAATTTTCTATTGCCACCCAGGCTTAGTACACACCCTGTCTCTTGAGAGTCGGAAGTCCATCCTCATGTGACCATCTTCTCAGTATCCCACATGACTCCTACCAAAGTGTTGGAGGCAGCGAGAGGGGGAGATCTGCTTCTAATCTGACTCAGACAAGATGTGTTCCCTCATAGCTGTGGGACCCAAGCCTCCTAGGTCTTGCCCACTGTCCCTGGATTGAGGATCTACTTGGATTCTTCTCATTTCCATTCTCTTTTGACTTCAAGGTCTCATTAGCACGTTAGAGATGGCTCCCTTCACTGGGACTGCTATCCTTACACACTTGGAAGCCCTTTCCCTTCCATCTGGAGCCACTGACGCATGGCAGCTGCAGATGTGAAGGAAGAGAACTTCTTGCGTTCTCCATGCATGCAGGAGTCCCTCGTGAAGGTTGCTACCATGTGAAAAAACATTCTCAAAAACAGGCTATAAGCACATTGCTGAAGAGGTACTGAAGTTCCTTTTTTTTTTTTTTAAACAATTTCAAATTGAACAATCATTTTACATCTGTTGTCCAAACGGATAAAGCTGATGGTGGGCAGAACTGGAATAAACAGTGAAGCAAGAGTAGCCCTGGTATAAAATGCATTACTAAATTATTTTTTCCCCTCTGAAACTTATTTTCATAAAGGAAATAGAGGGAAAGTCACCGAATACACTTGGTTCTTCCTGAGAGCCGGTTTGTTTGTTGTGGGATTAACGGAACCAGGTTTTTCATTTGTTTGCTTGAATGCTTTTGTTTTTATCCCTTTCTCTAGGTAAAAATTAAAGCTAGGTAAGAGTACTGGGTGGCATACCCACACACACATGCCCACACACGCATGCCCGCACACGCATGCTCACACACTCATGCCCGCACACACATGCCCCCAAACCTGTAAGAAACAACTGCTTTTTGTCTCTTGAGCGATGTAAAATCTATCCTGATGGTTGGTTTCTGTCAAGATAGCTGGAATTTGAGTCTTTGCACACTATAGGCTGAATTTCAGGACTCCTCCGTTTGAAAAGAATGAGCATAGGAAATTTTCCAGAACCACAACTCTTTACTGCAAATAGGAAAAAAATCTGGAGTTTATCCCTGAATACTCTCTGTAAGACAGCACCAGTCTGCAGGCATTCTAAACTCGGAATATCCCAGATAAGACCCAGATAAAGGAAGAGTTCGGGCCGCTGCCTTTTCACATGTTCGCAGGGAACAAGGATTGTGTGCTCTTTGCCAAAGGAATGCTGAGAAGAAGGCAGCGGCTAAGTTAGGACAACATTTAACAAAGCGTGTTGAGCTGGCACCGAGCTTCCGTTAATGGAATTAAAAAGTATCTGCCAGTGTTCCAGAGAAGACGATTCCCACAGGTTCCTCTCCAAAATGTTTTCAACTCCGCGGCGCGAAACAAAGGGATGGGAGAAATGAATCAAGCAGACTGCCTCGTGGGTAGTTAGGCTAAGCTGGGATAAATTAGGTTAGCCTCTGTTTTCTGATCAGTACCTTCCCTGAGACATTATGGATAGCGCCCTCGCCCTGGTTGGCAGAGACAGCTAAAAAAAACCGATCTGGAGAACTCAGCAGTTGACCCGGAACAGCACTCTTTGTCAACGCATTCAGTCACATCTGGTCCTGAGTTGGGAAAATTGTTGGCCTGCTGCAGAGCCGGTTGCTCTGATAGCTGCAGGCATTTCCCTACAAAACAGCTCCTCTCAGAGATTAAAGGCACCGGCACCACACAGCCCTCCTCGCTGGGCCACTATGTATCTATTGCATATGTGTGTATCTTTATTCATTTAGTGAGAATTAACGGACTATCAACTCATTTCTCGAAGCATACATGACATACAGCACCCCCAAGAGAGAATAAAAAATAATTTTCCTGTAGGGCTGAGGAGGTGACTTCATTGGTAAAGGGCTTGTCATTTGAGCAGGAGAGTTCCCAGCACCTATGTCAAAAACTGTTTTAGTAGTCTAGCCACCAATGAAATGCTACGCTCCTATAAACAACCTCTCATCCATGATCACACAGGCATGAACTTAGTGGGTACCACACAGAAGATGTGAAAATAAGAGAGGAAGGCTTGTTGGGCCAAAGTATTTCAGGCAAAGGTGGAGGGTGAGATGGGGTAGTAGAGATTGAAAGAACGGAAACTCTTTTTATTTTTACAATTATGAAACTGTCAAATAATAAAATATTAAAAATTAAATTAAGCTAGACATGGTGGTACATACCTAAAAACTCAGGGCTGGGGAGACTTTGAGATGGCAAGACCCCTGAAGTTTGCTGCTAAGCCAATCAGTGAGCTTCAGGTTCAGTGAGAGACCCTGTCTCATAAAGTAAGGTGGAGAGTAACCGAGGGAGACACTTGATAGAGACCTCTGACCACCTCACACGTGTGATCCATGGGATCTGATGCCCTCTTCTGGTCTCCACAGGCACCAGGTACACATGGTTCACAGATATACCCACAGGCAAAATATCCATACACACTAAAGGCACACTGCTGAAGAAGCTTCTGGAACTCAGGATTTAAGCCACAGTCACAAGGAACTGTTGAGCAAGAGGATCTTTAGGGTTCACAACTCATGTCTCTGGGTTAGAAATGCCTCCTGCATTTCTAACACCGGTCATGCTATGTTAGTTCTAGGACACCGATTGCCAGAATGAGCCAACAGTCTCCAAGCTGTTCACTATCTTATAAAGAGATGAAGTAGAACAGCCAACTTAGGTCACCTCCAAAGGTTATCAGTAAACAGTTCAAGCTTCCTGTGACTTAGGTGAGAGCTTCCATATCATTTTCTTG